AAGACTTTTTTTTCGATAAAAGAAACATTTTAGCTTAATCAAATTTAAGAACTTCAAGAATTTTTCAAATAATCTGTTTTTTCACAATAAATTCTCAAAATATTCAGAATGTTTAATTACTTAACAATACGAAAACTGCAGAGAAACATCTATTTATTTTATTTGAAAAAATTATTATTTGGCACAATAGAAGCGTTGCTGGTGATTTTAAAAATAGATAAATGAGTATCTGTTAGTTAGTTCCAAACAAATTTTAAAAATAATAAAACGATTCAGTACCGTTTATTATAGTTTCTATTAGGAATACGCAAGTCGCTTTGTTATTACAAGATCTGCGAGTCATTTTTCAATAAATGTAATTCCTTTTAATGTTTTCTCAAATCTTCAATAAAAATTGATTTTAGTGTTCTTCGTTCCACGCAAGCAATACCAATACACTACAGTCTATCTCTGTCTTATTATCAGGCAAGATGTGGAGCACGAGAGGGGATCGTTATTTTCCAATGTTACGTACACTTTTAAGCTTCGTTGGTGTTATATAGTGTTATTAATATGTTTAGTAAAAAATAATTGGATAATAATTATCCACTTAATTAACGGGTATATACACATATAGCTAACTAGCTTTCGCCAGCGGCTTCGCCCGCGTGGACCCTAAGGAAATTTTTAGTGGGATAAAAAGTATCCTATTATCTAAATCAGCTAACACCATATCTGTATACCAAATTTCATCAAAATCCGTTCAGTAGTTTCTGCGTGATTGACCTACAAACATCCAAACATCTAAACATTCAAACAAAGAAACTTTCACATTTATAATATTAATAGGATGTAATGTAATAATGTAAAAAAATCAGGATAAGTCGAACTTCAACCACATAAATAAAGTAGGTATTGGAATAACATCAAGAGAAAAACATGTTTGATATTACAAATTAATTGTTCGTTTCTCTATTAGCTGAGAGCGATTCACATACAATGAGTATTGGATATGTATGGGGCCACAAAACAGCGTCATGTCGACTTATAAGGCGAATGGTAAGGCAATCGGCCTTTGATATTATTGATTTGGCTCGCCATTACAATAATTAATGTCTTATGTCCTTGGTATATGTGTTGACGTAACGCACAATGCAGCAGAATGCAAGTGAAGTGTTTGTCGTCAAAAATGTTTTGCTTGGAGTGTCGTCACAGACAATGACATCTTTAGTAATTCATTAAGGGCTTGTCAGCACTGCGACATTTCATTGTGCGATTATTAATCCCGCCGATCATACATATTGTGATCAGAATTGTAGTACAATTAGTACGCATTTTTGGTAGTACACACAGCGTTTAATTTAATTATATTTTTATTTTTTTCTGTGCGATTTTTTATCGCCAGTCCGGGTACATTTATACATACGTTCTGTGTCAAACTCAAAAGTCGTTATAACCTCAGTTTAAACTATATCCTATAGATTGATGTCTTTGGTATATAACATAACCAATCGCTATCTAATTCAAACAATTAATGTTAGAGTTTATATATTATTTCGTTTAGATTTCGATTCATCAGTATCGAAAGATATCATGTTAGCGGCCAAAATTACACAATTTGAAAGGTAATTGAAAATCTTTGGTTACAAATTGATGTATGTGAACTTGAAGAATAACTTGAACAATAATAATAAATGATACATTTTATAATAAGAATAAAATATATATTGTTTATCGTGGTAATGCATGCAATGCGACGAAGTTAAATATCCTCAATGGCGCCATTTAATACATTTCATCAGTTTCTTTTTATTTTGTGATTTTCAAATTAATTTCCATTACATTTTAATTGTTAACTTGATTCATCAATTCTATTGATGTTTACTGTCAGCTTGTGGAGACTCATAACACAAAAAAGCTTTTATATAATATTAGTTCGGTTAACATTAAGTAGATATATTATAATTAAAAACACAAATATTCAATATCGTGCTTAATCAAGCAAGCTAATTATTCCTACTGACAAGTAGTGCAACCGTGCAACCGAGCAGGAAGGCGGGTACGGCTATAATTTTTAATCCTAACTACACGCACATAAAACCGGATATAAAATGTCTGCCCATAGATGCGTTTTAACTGCCCATAAAACCACCACTGAGCCCTAATTGTTGAAGTAAGGACTCCCTTCCTTCGCCGCTTCTGTTGTCGTCATGATCAGAATTTTATAGGTTCGACACTCATAAAATTGAAGGCACAGTTTGAATACACTGTGGTGGATGTTACCGACTTTTTTACAGCTGCCATATTAAACAGTTCGTACAATTACTATTTAATGAATATCTGCTATAGACTGATGCATTGTGTCTTATACTTTATAGGTAATTTGTCAATTAACAATTTACTCATGGAGGCAATTGAACTAAACAGAAATCCTTTTCTCCAGAAAGAACGGATGTTCATCTAAGTGGGCTCTTGTATTTATGATGCGGAAGGGTGTGCTGATTGTAAAACCGCATGAGTGAAGCAATCAAGGTCTTCAATGTTCTTCTATTGATTCGTCCTTATTGTATCCGATTGGAAAACTACTATTCCTTTTTCTGTTGATCAGTCCTCTTTTTGTGGTTAAAGAAAAGTCGTTTGCATTGCCTTTATTTCTATTTTGCTAAAAGTTTGCCCTTTTTATTCTTTCATTTTTTAAACGGTGTATATTTGTGCTCTGCTATGTATCGGTGTAATAAAATTGTATTGTGATACTAGATATTTTTCTGGGACTTTGTACACATAAATTATTGTCTATGGCCATCCCGTAGGATGTAGCTACCCGTAGGTGAAAGAATTTTTAAAATAAGTCCAGTAATTTCGGAGTCTATTCAATGCAAACATAAAAACAAATAATCAAATATTTTCTCTTTATAATATTAGTATAGAGAAAATTCTAATTTTAAACTATAAATTATATTTTTAAATTTCAAGTCAGATGTTATAACTCTTAAGAATCTTGGAATAATAATAATCTTGATCAATTTTATCAATGCATTTATCTCATATTTCACACGATGTTCTGGATTAAGTTAAACTCCTGTTTAGCTATACATTTGTTTGATATTAGCCACTAGTTCCACTGTAATAGTAAGCAATCGATTTGTTTAATGGGAACAATAAGATGCTTTAAAATCATGTTTTATTGATCACGTTCTTTTCTGTTTATGTTATGCTGATTCAAATGGCACTTTGTAAGTAGTGCATTTCGGAGATAGTCGATAGACGGGACGAGACGTTGAATATCTCTCGGTTCCGATTGGGCGCCTACGCGTGAGGTATGCGCTGCGCTCCGACGCCGATGCTACTAGAAACCGAGTGTCCCGGAATGTTTGCATCTCATATGATCATCATTCATATTCAGATCTTTTTGATTTATCTTAGAAAATTAGTTATTTATTATTAGCAAAATCAATGATAAATACTGCACGGTTTTTTTAAACATGGCTGTAAGGTTGTTACTTGGATGTTATTAAGGTTGGGTTTGACTTATTGGATATCGACAAATGGCGAAGTAGTAACCCAAGACAAATAATACGTGAATGAACATGAGAGGTTTTAAGAAAATAAAAAACTTATGTTGCCCACTGTTGATATTTTTACTGCTTTCGAAGTAGTTGCCATTCCTTTCTACGGTCAGACTGCATCTTCATAATTTTTTAAATTAATTCTTTTGATTTTCTATTTTATTTGTCGAAAATAAAAGTCTCAATAGCGTATGATTCACTTATTTCACACATTTGATAGACAAATCCGTACGACGGAGTGGGCTGGAACGTTGTCGAATTCTACAAAACCTTTGGTAAATTAGACTGCAGTATCAGTTCTGTTATCTTATAGGACGGTTGTTGTGAAACCATTGGTCCTTCTTAATAATGAGAAAATGATCTTCTCTTGAAATTAGACAAATGAAATTTCGTTTTCGTAGAAACAGAGTTGGCCTTCTATTGATATGTTATTCTATCTTCAGTCGCCGTGCAGTTCCTTCTCGCGAATCATCAGAAGGTGAACACCGTGTCATGGAAATGGACTTCATCATGAAATGCCGATCGAAGTCCTTCTAATATAAATGCAAAAGTTTGTTATGTTTTCAAGCAAAAACATTCGTATGTTTTTTTTATGAAATTCGGTATAAATTTGGTTTGGTATAGACTACTTTCTATCCAATTAAACAGTTCCCAAGGGATAAATGTACTGTCAAGTAATCGTGTACACCACGCGGGCGAAGTCGCTGGCCTATTATAACATTTTTTTTATCTTTAAATTCGCAGTATTAGTTTAGGCCTAAGTAATAAGATTGTCACGGTTTTCTTTGTTTGTTGACGTATCTTAAAAACCTTAATAGTGATGCCGTGTGTATTGTTAGACCCGGGTCGGTCAATAAAACAATACTCGCGATAGACTTATATTTTTATTCTAGTTGACTGCACATGTTTATTTAAGAATAATAGACTTTATTTAATTATTCTATTAATAATGAGCTGTTATATTTATAAACTGTAGATGATGTTTGTTTTAATAACCGTGAGAAAGAATGAGACTTAAGTTAGTGAAAAAAATGCACTTTTGTCATGAGAAGTACGTAATTATTGATTGTTGTTTATTGAGAAGGGTTAACATGTTTACAAACTGGTCCGCACTATAATGCAGTTTTAATAACATTTCGCGAATCAAACAGATGACTGAATACAATTAACGCATCGCACGAAAACAGCATGCGATGCGGTTAACAGATAGGAATCAGAATCTGCTCTGTCCAACCATAACATAACAGTAGGCGCCAGCGCTCTTGTAACACAGTCGCCTCTTAATCACCATACGAACGTTAGTGGTACTCAAGTAACTTAACACGTACAAATAATTACCGTTGTTTACTCGCAGCTGTTAGGATTAGTGACAGTGTCAGTGCAGTGACTCGAACGATTAACGACTGTTAGCCCTGTTGAAGGTGAACGTTAGTGAAATGAACATTTTTGTACAAAATGCTCAAATATCACCGGCGTTCTCATAGACATAAATCACCAGTTCAGTGTTTGAGATGGAGGTTTGTATAGCAAATATTATCTATGTATAAATTTCGCAAAAGATTTTATTTATTTATTTTGGCTTTCGACATTGCGCATGTTTCTTTTCATAGTAATATTATAGATATTTCATTCTAACATTGTTTGACAAGTTAACAATAACGATATTGTATATAAGTTGTTACAGTTAATTACTAGTGATGTCATATATAACACCTAATTATTTTGTCAATAATACTTCCGAATTATGCAAAAGGCATAACTTTACTATAGATTTGTCATGGATGCAAGTTTTAACGCTTTTAATTGCAAACTATTGAGTTCTTGCGTGGTAGGTAACATCTATATATAGTAGAAATGTTACAATATTTAGATTTCATTTGATATGGGTTATTTCTAAATCTTGGTTTGGTATACTAAAAAGTGAAGCTCACGATTTCATCAGCATAATATCACTGGACCACAATTTATTAGGGTTAAAGTTATTCATGATTTCTAAAAGTTATGTATTAAGGAGTATCTGCGACAATAAAGGTACAATACCCACACCCGAATAATATAGAAAACTATTTTCTACATTGACTCCATCTGGTATCGAACCCGGAATCTTAGACATGGCGACGTCTTGAAATCGGCTTGTGAATAACTATTATAAGGCTTTTACTTGTGCCATTCTATTTTTGTGTCCTATTTGTTACTAAGTTCATTTTATCCGAAGCAATAAGAATAGAACGACAGAACAAGAATTTAATGTCAAACCATAATTTTGCTTCACTTGGAGTCTGTCGAAGTTGTGAAATATAGTTTATTTTATATAAACTCTCTAAAGCCTCTATGGAATCACACTCCCTATATAACACATTTCTATCAAAAATAATGCATATTTTACATACATTTATTACCGAATAACATGAAAATGGGTTTTATTAAATAATAAAAACAAAATTCAAAAGGAAATCCTCATTTATATAATAACCGTTACTATTTGTTAATAAAGATCGTCAGGCGACTCGGATGCCACCAGCACGGCTGCGGTGGAGACGACCCTCGAGAGGCTGCGAGGCACCCGCGGCGCGCTCGAGGAGCTCTGGTCGGATAGAGAGAGGCGTCTAGAGCTCACCCTGCAACTTAGACACTTCGAGAGAGACGCGCTTGAGGTAATCTTAGTTATACTATAACAATATGAGATAGATATTGGAAGGTTGTTTACAGAACAGAAGAGGAAAGACTGTATTTTCATTATACTAGAAATTAAGTGCCTTTAAAGTGCTTGAGAACTTTAAAGTTACTTAGTTTTCTTTTCCTAGTAGCTCTAATGTGATGGTTATGGTTCGCTAGTTTATGACTATCATCATCATTAGCCTATTAATGTCTATTGTTTAGGTACAGACCCTCCGATAGATAGAATCAAATCGAATTGTATAGGAAGTGCAATGTTAATGTAAAATGTTCGATGGAAATAAAGTTATATTTATTATTATTATTATTATTAATGTCCTTTATCAAAGTAATTAAAAACTCTGCAAAGCTTAATTGAAATCTTTGTTCAAGTATGTATTGTATGCGATTTTTGTATTGAATGTATGTACTACAGGTACTTCGGTCAAAACAAAAGAATTTATCTGCTATGAGAATAGACATTAGATGTGGTTTACGTAATGACGTTCAATATTGGTTGCAGGTATCATCACGGTTGGAGCTTTGGGGTGATGAATTGCAACGAACTGAACCACCTCGCGATCCCCAACAAGCTGAGCAAGCACTCGCGGCCCATAACGAGAGTGTCGCTCGAATGCAACATGCCACCTATCAAGTAAGTAGACATCGCATGTAATAACGCTAGTGAACTGTTATTATCTATGAAAATAAAATGACATAAGTTTCAAATGTTTTATTTTTGCTCCCTGATTAACAGATATAATGATATGTTCTTCAGTTGTCTTTTTTACCAGGCTACTTAAATAATATTTAGAACGAATTTGTTGAATGCGCAATTATTAGATAATCTTTGGTAGTATTCAAAATATCCTATTTGTGAACCTACACCTATCTAGTTAAATTAATCGAATACCCGTGTGTCGAATACTAGAATTCTTAGGCTCAATTTTACATGACGAGGAAAAAAAAGCACAATATAAACTTTCACATTTACCATATATACTTTTAGGTGGTTCAACAAGGCCAAGAACTAGCGGCTGCTATAGCGGAAGCATCAGATGTGATGGCTTCAAATAATGCGGATGGTTCGGAAGCAGCGCCACTTGATGCCCAAGCTCGCGTTCAGCTATTGCTGGAATTCTTACACGATAGACAACTAGATCTGGAAGAGCTGGCTGAAGAGAGGCGAGCACGATTTGAACAGTGTGTGCAGCTTGGTGAGTTATGCATATATCTTATCACATAGTAACTCAATATAATTAAGCAGTAATTATATATTTTAAAGATGAAATCTTTTATTACAGTTATTTTACGAGTACTATAATAGCCTTATGATTAACGGCTAGTTGGTGGTGATCATTCAACTGCGACCCAAAACGGTGATTACGAAAACACGATCTAGTCTAGTTTCTATAAAAGACGCTGACGTTGTGTTAGTTCATGATAACACAGCATCGCGAAATATTTTGTTTGTATGTTAACATCTACAATATGAATTCGTAAACAAAACATCATGACAAGATTATCGCAATTTGTCTAATTTTCATAATCGATTTTGAACTCTGCAGTAAAATTTTAAACCCTAAAGGGTTTAAAATTTATTGAATAAGTTTTAACAGTTTTGTATAACTTTACATACTATTGTTTTGACTGTACTTTTTACATTATAAGAAGGTGTGTTATTCTCTTATATTAATTAGGATAGAGAGCAAAGAGCGTTTTTCACATCTCCTTTCACACATTGATTTAAAATATTAAATGACTATTTAATCAATTTATTTGTATCAATTTATGTTCAGGGCAATTCCAAAAGGACGCGGCTCAAGTAGTCAGCTGGATTCGTAACGGCGAAGCTATGCTTGCTGCTTCGTTCTCCATACCCGGTACATTGGCCGAAGCTGAACAGCTGAAGCGTGAACACGACCAGTTTCAGGTAGCCGTTGAGAAGACTCACGCGAGCGCTGTACAGGTCAAGTATCGAGCTGATGCCTTGCGAGCTGCTAACCACTACGACCCACATACGATAAGGTTATTGTTATGTCACTAATTACGTTAATTATTTTAGCTTAATTCTATCGATGATTATATTATATTATATAATAAATTATTGTTTACCCTTCAGTTGCTGGACTGTATTAATGTGTAATGTGTTAATTTTCTTCACATATGATATCGACCTTAATTATATTATATTGGTGTTCAAATTTGATTACGATAATTTGATATTTTGTGTCAACCTGATACGTTTAATGTTATCTTTATTCCTTTCATCTTTTGTTTTATATTCATGATCGATTATTTTCTTAGAGAAATCTCAGAGGAAGTCACCGAGCGTTGGCAACGGCTCGTAACATGCGCGGAGGAACGTCACAAATTGGTGACGGCTTCCTTGAACTTCTATAAGACTGCTGAGCAAGTGTGCTCTGTGCTGGACTCACTCGAGCGCGAGTATCGGCGCGACGAAGACTGGTGCGGATCAGCGGCTGCGCCCGCTACAGACGAGCCTGCACAGGCGACCAATTTAGATAAAGCCGCGCAGGTTAGCCACTAGTCACTTTTAGAAATCTTTAGAATGATAGGTCGCTTTACTTATATAGATTATGCCCAAAAAGTATTAATGCTTATCTTTACAGACACTCGACAAGGTGTTTTTATATTATAATGAGTAAGGATGATTAAAAAAAAAAAGTAATGCATAAAGCAAAAACTATCCTACAGTATTATAGGTGTACCAGAATCCGATGGAACAAAATAAAATAAAAAATATCGTAATTCATATGGCAATGTAAATTGTGAAGAAAAAGTGTAAATTATTGTGAATTTTTTTAGAAATGGCCAAAAAGCCAATGAAATATCAGGTGGAAATATAGTTTTAATTGTACATAGCGAAATTTATGAAAAGTAGCTCAAGACCAACGATTTTTTAAATTTTAAAGTGTCTTGATAATTAATTTTTTTAAAAAGATTAAATTAGGAAATATTTATTGGCGTGTTGACTACAACAGTAAAACGATTTATAAGTGAAGACGAAGATATGAAATCATTTTTTACCCGCTGAGGTAAAATAGGTACGGTGAAAAAAATAAAACATAAATAAAACGGACTTGATATAGATGTGTAACAGACAGTTGCAATATTAGTAAAGATAAGCAATAAACAAATACATGATGTAAAACTTCTTTTATTAATTCGTGTTATATTTCGGGTCAGGTAAAATATTGGTTTTTCTGTCTGTTCAGCTGCTGTCAATATACATATATTATATGTTGCTAATATAGAGTATACAGTTGTACCTATATTTTTGTTCTATATTATGACCCATGTCGATGGCAAATATACGTTAAAACTTGCTATGAGGTAGTTATTGAAAAGTTTTTATTATATTAAAATATTACAAGTATCAAGACTTCATTATCTTTTTCCCCCAATGTTGTCTTCTACAATTTAAAATTTCCCGATTTGTCATCAGATTCTAGTACACCTATACTATTGTTTATCAGGTGGCAGCTTTGATAGTGAAACATGGCGAACAGAAGGAAGCTTTCCTGAAAGCGTGCACGCTGGCGCGCCGTACTGCGGAAACGTTCCTGAAGTACGCGGCGCGTTCGGCACAAGTGCACGGACAGACAGCAGCCGCTAGTAAAGCGCACCACGAACAAACTCGCGCCATACTAGATACGTTGTTGGCGCAAGAAAATAAGGTAAGCTATAATTTGATTCGCTTGATTGATGATTTGATTTTTTGACCCAGGGAAAAAGCCTGTATCCTGATAAGATGTTTGGAGTGTGTGGGACTTTCCCCCGCTAATAGACTTAATTGGTAGAGTACCATTAAACAGGTTAAAGGGCGGAGGTCTACCCAATAAAAACCCTGACGACGTTGAAACGTGGACGTAATACTGACGTGTGTTTGTTTCAATAGACGAAACTGAAAATATGAATTTGAATTTTAGTTTAATATTCGATTTCCGAAATAGAAAATATTTCTTTTCCGTATAATGAATGGCAAGTACCACTGGTGTCGATCAATGACGTAACTGTAGTCATATACTAATAAATGCAAAGAATACGTTTTTGCTTGGCATGTTAATATCACGGTCACAGCAAGAAGTGATACCCACTACAGTAATCAGCCGTGCAACGCCCTCTGCTAGGTCTAGGTTACCGCAATTTTTATCAGATCGTCAGGCCACTTGGTTGGGGGCCCACCATCATAGAGTATTCCAGAACCATTCCTCCCCAACAGCCATGGGTTCTTGCTATGTGTTTCTGTCACTTCACATGAGTAATCCTTAGGGAAAACTTAGGATTACATCATCCGCAAAATAAAGTTTCTTTTTTATTTATAACCTATAGTTCTTGACTTGTCCGGTATATCTTTAAATTAATTGGGTATATCCAGTGTCGGATCAGCTTACCTCTGGGATCTTAATGACGTTGAATTGCGTGGAGTATAACTTTCTAAAGAAATTCTTGATCACCTCTAAAATATCAGATTGAAATAATCTTCTAAATAATATATAGCTCGGTAAAGATATTATGAATCATATTCGAATTGTTGACTGATAAAAGGCATATTAAGTACATAATTTCCAATATCCACTAGTTTTTATCTATATACACTTTGTCATTATTAGTGCAGCAAGCAGTTGTTTAATTACATACTAGCTAGCTGTAAACTATAATGAAAAAGTAAAAATAGTGTGTACATTCAATATATTTCATAGAAATTGATTCAGGGCGATAATGAAACACCAACAGAATACAGCTCAATGATTTAAAAAAAAAATGTCTGTTTGTCTGTATGTTTGTTAGTATGTACACGCTAATCTATGTAACTATTGAACTGATCGGTCCTCACAGTCCACATCATTAGAATTTAGACAGTAAAGTTGTTTTTCTTAGATGCTTCTTGGGCACTTATCAAACCTATATTAGAAAAGTAATTCTGGCTGAAATAAGATCGCTCTCTCAGTAGCATCTTCAGGGATTGCTGCTAAATTGCTTCCCGGTGGTGAGACGGCACACACAATGTTCAAAATCCTAATTGGTTTGACAGAAACACCAACCTGTTCTATAACACGAAATTATGAAGCGAGTGTTATTGGATTGGTGTCTAATCAATTGGGTCTAATGTACCATGTCCAACAAAAAACCCTTGAAGCTGTGGACAGAACGGTATCAGATATTCGCCGAGATGAAGAGCCAATGGGTAACGACACGGATCTCTTCTCAGTAGGTTTTTGTTGAACTATTCCTAAAGAACTCATAATAAAGAAACAAGAGTGAATTAAATTCATGTCAATGAGAAATCTTTATCTACCAAAGATATACAACGGAACCCTGCTTCAAATTATTGCTTTACAGAAAAATATTACCGAAGCACACTTTCTGACAGGCTTCTATTGTGTAATGTATCACAAAAGGCTTGTTTTATTTATAGACGAATAACGGAAGTTGATATAGAACAATATGCGGCATTGACAATGACAATAACGCACTCGTTTCATTCAGTGGAAAAAGCTATAGAGGAGAAATTCGAATCACGACAGTTTACAAATTAATGAGCTTATTTGTTTGTTGTTTCGCGGGCTATTTCGATTATGTCACTCAAAAATATTTACGTTACATGTCGGTCGGTTATTATTAGCGGCGCATTGTCAGTTTCAGTGCCGGTGCGGCGTAGGTTAGGTTAAACGTTAATAATATAAGTCAGTGATGGCAATGCGGACTGACCATGGTGTTGCTCATTCTTGGTGCCGCGCCATGGATACTACGCGTCTGCTCGTATTTTTTGGAAATGATTAAAAGTTTACTTATGGTCGTTTTTCAACCGGTACTGTTATTTTTGTGGTCACTTAAATTAATGGAATGTTTTAAATTATTTTTTGTCCATTAGCTAACTTTTATTCATATTGAGTCATTGATTCAAATCTGTAAGATATTTTTACTAGATGTTCTATATTATATTTCAGTGTAAAGCATTCGTTAGTGTAGCAATTATTATGAACTGACTTCGATCTAGGTACTGGAACATTGGACAGTGCGTAAGAAGCGGCTCGAGCAGTGTCAACAGTTTGCTTTATTCGAGCGGTCTGCGCGTGCGGCGGTTGAATGGATTCGTGAGACGCAGGAGCGATGTGGTGCCGCTGCTGCTGCTGCCGCCGCGGGCGTAGCGCGAGAGAGTCGCGAACGTGTCCGATTGTTGGCCCAGCTCGCGGATGGACTCGTGGAGAAAGGTCACCCGCACGCTGTCCAGATCAAAGAGTGGGTTGCTGCTGTCGACGCTAGGTATGAATGAAATTATACTAGCTTCGATAAATTCCATCAAATATGTAGTGAATATATATACTACTCGAAACTAAATAAGACCACTATGTTCTTACAGTATTTTTCATGAACAGAAGAGTTTGAAATGATAAGTAGTGAAAGTTCATAATTTTTTAAACACAGTATATTAAGTGAAGGGAGTTTTCCTTAAAATTATGGTTAAAAAGTTTTAAAAAAATATGGAGGGATATGTTATATTTCATAGCAAATTGTCTCAAAAGGTTTTGTACAGCTTTGTTTTCTGTTTCGTACAATTTAAATGAAAAAATACGGTATATTTCACCTATCTTTATTTTTCATTCTATATACGGGAGAAAAATATTATAGCTGTCAAACATTTATAAGCAATCTGCAATCTGCATCCTCTCTACGAAAACCGATATCGCCAGTCTTGCCCCACTTTTCGTCTGCCATACATCAAACGAAATATTAGACCAATTATACAAAAGATATGCACACACTTGCATTTAAAAAATGCCAATCAGAACGATCCAATATAACTGTAACCAATCACGTACAACCGTAACAGACATCTAGAGTGCGTAATAAACGTGTAAAAGCCATTTTAATTTGACATATTACACTAGTGATTGACATAAAGTTATTTACTATCGATATTGCAAAACAACAAGACAATTAATTGAAAGGATACTGGAGTAATGATTTCTTTATATTGTTTTGGATATATAGGTACGTTGAATTGTATCGATTATTATATTTTTTCTTTAGATATTGATATTTAAAAAAATACAATTTTTTTTATGTTGTTAATTAGTTGATTGATTCAGTAAGAAATATTTAAATGACTTCCTAATAATGAACTAACATTGAATCAGTACTAGTTGTGCTGAAATATTTAAATGTAATTGTAAATATATAGTTTGTTGGTTTGTTTATATATAATAATAGCTTGTAATTTCTTTACGTTACGTTACTCGATTTCGTATCAAAAAACAGGTAAGATCAGCAACATCGCTAAAATGAAGCTAGTTTATATTGACAAACAATGTTATGTAAATAAATGTATACAAAAAATACACAATTATTACAATAAATGCTATTGGAACTTACCCCGAACGGGTTTCGAAGATTTAAAAAGTATTATTGATGCATACCAAACGAAGTCAATATGGTAGTTTATATATAAATTAGGGTTACATTTTTTTATTGTCATTGTTAATCTCTGATTAAATGTGTCTTTTATTACGATTATTTATGTCGTGCTTCTGACTAACACACAAAGAATTGATTAACCCCTGGTTTCAATAACCAAAAAACTATCCGTTTTTGCTACCATCCGTAGCATTTCCTACCGATGGTAGCAAAAAAGTGTTTCAATAACATACCATTAGTAGGTAAAGCTACCGACGGTGTGCTACTAACGGATTGATCTGATACTGATAACCGTTCGTAGGCAAAATGTATGAAAATGGCGCAAACAGGTGTTTCAATATCTTTCGGTAGAGCTGTCAAACTTACTATCCGTAGCTTATCTGTCAAATTTGCCTACCGGCCATTTTCCGTCGGTTATCGTAAAAATATTTATAAATGACATGTTTTTCCTTGTTAACTAATAGAAAAATAACAGTTTTTCATTAAAAAAATTAATATTGTAGAAGAGTTTGATGTGTTTTGTGGTTCCAATTAGAAGAATTTAAGTTGTAATCATGCCAATGTTTGTACCTTTAAGGGCTCATACTACCAATTAATCATTGCTCCAGATGCTTTCTACAATATGTTTCTGTTGAAAAACTTGGATGATTTACCTCTATATAATTATGAAAAACCTTGTTCTGATGAAACTGAATTTGCCACCTACTTGTACCAAACTTATACACGTTACATTAGTTTATACCCTTTATTTTTTATTAAACACTGATATTGATTTAATTCTTAATAAAACCCAATTTGGATATAACTTATTTATTTTACAAATAAAAAACAATTCATAAAAAACTACATAATTTTTACATTATTCCATTGCATTTTTCTACGTTTGTTTTACGATTTGACACAATCATTCCACTTTTTCTAATAACCATTCATTTATCATCCTATGTCAATGGATCACAATTGTTCACTGTCAAATTCATTAATGTTATCTTGCAACTTCAATATGTATAGTACAAATCACTTTATACAATTAACAATTTATAATAAAGGTGAACTCTATATAAAATTCCCGCTAAGCTTCTACGGAACATAAATCAACTTTACTTTTTGGCATAATTAAAGGCAAAGGGATATAGCACATACAACCTAGTCTAGAGTGACAATATTCACATTGAGGTTCACTTGGACGTTTTAAATGCTTTTTTTGGAGCAAAAATTGAAATATATTAGAAAATGGTGAGGTATGTTAAAGTAACACGTTCGCGTTCTTGTACCTACTAAATTGACAAAACACTGCTCATAACCATGCACCGTACCATTTCAATGAACTGTGTATTGCACACGTTTATTTATATTCCGAAATTTAATTCCAGATAAAAAAACTTATATAAACAAATGATGTTATTTTAGGGGTTGCAAACATTTTCCAAAAGGTTCTAATTATAATTTTATTTTTGCAAATAATAATATGGAAATAAGATGAAAAGTCTTATTTTTTATCGACTTCAATGAAAGAGAAAGTATCTCATTCAAGTGTAACTAATTTTGTATAACAATGTGGGGATAAAAATGTAAGATTTGTTGACATTAGCCTATAAGAGTTTCATTACTTTTTCAATTTTAAGTACTTTAAATTGTAAATAAATATCGAATAAAATACTTGTACAGTAGGTGGCAAATTCAGTTTCATCAGAACCAGGTTTTTCATAATTATATAGAGGTAAATCATTATGTTTTTCAAAAGGTAAATCATTATGTTATTGTAGAAAGCATCTGGACCAATAATTAATTGGTAGTAAGAGCCCTTTAAGGTTCAAACATAGAGTAGCTCGGTGGCGTAGTGGATAAGCGCCGCGGCCCGCGATCGTAGTCGTTAAGCAACTTTCGCAAGGGTCGGTCACGGGATGGGTGACCAAAAAATTATTATCTCGAGCTGCTCCGTGCTTCGGAAGGCACGTTAAGCCGTTGGTCCCGGCTGCATTTGCAGTCGTCAATACCCTCCAATCCGCACTGGGCCAGCGTGGAGGGTCATGGCCCATCCTCCTTAACCATCCATAAGGAAGGCCTGAGCCCCTGCAGTGGGGACGTAAAAGGGCTGGTGATGGAAGGTTCAAACATTGACATGATTACAACTTAAATTCTTCTAATCTGAACTACAAAACACATTAAGCTCTTCTACAATATTATATTATTAATGAAAAACTGTTACTTTTCTTTCAATTAACAAGGGAAAACGTGTTATTTATAAATATTTTTACGATAAATCATACTAAATAAAAAAAAGTTTAATTCAATGAGCCAAATGTTCCGAATCGCTGTTTCTTGCCCGCAGCATAAAATATTTCTATCCTATTTTTATCAAAAAAAAGGATTTTTAGTTCAAGTAAAAAAATTACTAAAACTTTTAAAGAGATAAATTTAAGCTATTTGTTGTAATGGTAACTCTTTTGTTTACATCAGAATTCCATTTCAGACGATAGTTTGTTTCACAATAATACCACTTTTAAGAACCTAACCATATAATAAATAAGTCATAATAATTCCAAAACAAATTTCAAATTTAGTTTCGGTACGTAATCAGTTCACCTCTTTCCTATTGATGTCTCTGTCTTCCTTCTTACGATTTCGATTTTGTCCAAGAAATTATTAAATGTTAAAGACCAACATTTCAGTATAATCATAATATTACCTAAGACAAGGCTGTATGGAAAGAACCCTTTTCCTCAAATTATATGATTACAATTTAAAAAAATGAGCTACCGACAACCGTTCGTAGTTGGTAGGCGCCTACCGATGATTGTGAAACGCAAAAACGAATGGTTGTCGGTATATTATTGAAACCGGGGGTAAATGTTCCCATGGTACTTCACTAGCGATCTACCGTAACCTATTAGAACGATGTTACTATTAGAACGGTGATTTCGCGATGTTCTTTGCATTACGTGCTTAGTACGACGCAATGTATATTTTCTTGGGAATATGTATTTTTGTCATTCACACTTTTGTTAACATTTCACGAATTTCGACTAATAATACTTAATTTAAGAAGTTCTACTTACAAATGTCAAGAAATCCCTCCTTTGGACCTTCTTGAGGATTGGATTCTTATTTTGCTATTGATAACCGCGCAAACCGGCATTTTTAACACTTTTAGTGACGTGTTTCCCAGTACTTTCAGCGCCCGCGTTCGTGAATGACTAAACATCGCGATCGGGTGGTGAAGTCACGATCCTGTACATTTGTCCAGGATCTTGGCTACACTGCCACGCCACAAGGTCCTTCTAACGTCTTTCTGTGTTCTGTGATCGTTATATTTTGTATTAGATATGCAGAGTTCAGTGGGTCGATGGAGGGCGGGGAAAGTGAGGCGGAGAGCGATTCAGGCGTGGCGCCGTCGCTGGCGTCCTCGCAAGTGACAGAACACGACCCGCGCTCAGACGTGCCCCCGCCCACCGCCGGCGACGATAAGAGGAGGAGCGCTAGGCGTAAAGAGTGAGTATACTAGTCTTACAAAATATATATCAATTCGGAACTAAATATCTATCTCGATAATATAGAGCGAGCGAGACAGAGCGGGCTAGCTTTATATATATATACATAAAAATTCTCTGTATGTATACATATATATATTATCAAAAAATATATACATGTACCTTCCACTTTTGGGTAGCTCAGTGAAATAAGCACAAAAAGGAAACAACCAATCGATTATAACATGTATCATTAGAGTTAAAGGCATCAAGTCATGTACACCCTTAAGCTTTACTACTCTACTTAATATTTCTTAAAACGACAAGATGACTGTGAAGAAACTATTTTATTGTGACCGTTATTTTCTTTTTTTTGTGGTGTTATGTTTTATGTATGTAAAATTAAAGTTCACTTTTTTATTTACTCCTAGCTGCGATCAGTTCCAAATTTGAAAATATTGTTTGAGAAGAACTAGCGAAACAAACTCCGTCAAGAAAAGTGAATTGCTCCCTTTGATTTTGTATTTACAGAATGAACTAACTGTATCTTTTGATTTTGCTATGTGATTCAGATTTTATTTAACTAATTAAAGAATCACAAGTCGGTGATATATTCCAACACACATATCTATTAAAATTCGGATGTTTAATTTCAATAGTCTCACGTATCATTTTAGGATAGAATCTTTGTTTAGTCGCAAGATAAAAAAAAAATATATATATAAAAACGACCAAATTAATGAACAAATATTATAGCGTGAACTTATTTTGAGACAGGTTGATGGTGATAAATAGTGTATTGTGACTTTATCAATTCTAACGTAGATTTATAATGGCGGAGCTGCTCCAAACGGAGAGGGCCTACGTCAAAGATTTAGAAACCTGTATCACCTGCTACCTACGAGAGATGCGTACTGACCCCGGCGCCGTGCCGTCTGCGCTACAGGGAAAGGTAAAATATTTATGTGTAAACTATACTGAATGATTTGCACTTTTGGTCACTCGCAAATTTAAAATGTTCAAACAATGTCGCCTTTCAACAAGAGCTAAATTGAGATGAATTATCGATAAGAAAAATACATTTATTATATGCTATCTACGAAATCAAATTCGATTATCAGGAGGAGATGATATTCGGCAACATAGAGGAGATTCACCGATTCCACGAGCGTGTGTTCTTGCGTGAGCTTGACAAGTACGAGTCGATGCCGGAGGACGTTGGTCATTGTTTCGTGACGTGGGCGCGCGAGTTTGATATGTACGTCGCGTATTGTCGAAACAAACCCGACAGCAACGCTGTGGTCGTTCAGCATGCTGGGGACTACTTCGAGAGGTAAGCCCCGTTCAGCACCCGCAAAGAATGATTTTATTGTACTAACTGGGTGGGTATGGGTGTCTCCTGAAAATAATATAATTTCGAATAGGAGTGTATACAACTTTTTTATATTTTTATTTTAAACATATACATGAACTATATATAGAAAGAAATATTTATATAAAAAGATGCGGTCTAAAAATAAATTTAATTTTCTATTTAAATTTTCATAAGGTTGAATTCACAATGTTATGGTATGAGTAAGGAGGGCGTGATGTCACGCGCTGTTTACGGTCACGTGACAACGAGCATAAATTATTTGTGTTTTTCATAAATTACTTTAAGCTCAATGATATAACAATAAAAAAAAATTAGATAGGTCATGTCAGTACTGATACGACGTCGAAAATTATCCCCAGCATATGATTCTCTCCAATTATTCACAGACTATAATTAAACATGTCACAAACCAGACGTACAGTGATTTAATACATGTTTAATGCCTACTTTTACCTAAATGAGTTAAAGACTTCGATCAACAGTTCAACCTAAAAATTATGATGTCTAACATTATTATTTCTCCTTGTCGTATATATTTGCCCGTGTATAAATAACGAAGCTTTTTAAGCTATAAAATAAACCAGACATTGATATAATATGTATAATAACCAGAGGTCGGAATCAGGTAGAGTTATTTATGTACTTGCATCGAAATGTTGATATTAATGTGGACCTTCCCGGGATTTCTAATAGACAATTTCTAATTCTTTGGACATCCGATGTCATTGATGTAAGTTTGGCAACGTCGTGCGTGCAGTAGTTTAAATTTTGTAAAAGTAAATAACTTTTTATTAAAAAAATCACGGGATTTTTTCTGCTCTTTAAAATTAATCTCGGGATTTTAGGCATATTAAAACCCCGCAAATTCGGAGTTTCAGTCTTATTTGGATTGCCAAGTAAATCTTACATTTTTAGTTTTAATAATGATAATAAAGTCAAATAATCTTAAATTTATTATAGATTGTAGGCATTAAAGTTAAATTGTCCGTTCTGTTACTTACATAATCTTTGACAGAATTTTTTTCACAGTTTGTAACCGGAGTATTTAATCTTTTCTTTTTATGACACGTTATTTATATTTCTGATTAAAACATCTAAATCCTCAAAAACGGGGCCGCATAATATTGTGACTGAATATGTACAGCGCTAGTTTAAACAGAGACTATTGGCTACGTATCCAGTATGTAAACCTCATTAAAACGGTGACACAATATTGCGAGTGAGCGCTGGTCTGTGTGCGGTGATTGACTTTACGCTTCCGGACTGGAGGCCAGAAGGGAGCTTCTGTAATGTATACGAGTGTTAACTCTGATATTTGGTATGCTGAAGCGAATACATAGGGTAACCTAGGTATTGTAACGTCCGAGTACGTTACTATAAATGTATGCTCCGACTGTCGCTATGCTTTATCACTGTTGACTGTGATTTTGATATGATTCGCAGTTTACGTTAGTTTTGAATATTGAATAATGATTATTTTAACTTCTTAAATATACATAAAATACATGACATGACATGACTTAAAAATACATATTATAAATATAATATCAATTACAAATATCTAATTAAATCGGTACTGGCCTATTGTCCTAAAGCTATATATATTCATACTAATATTATAAATGTGAAAGTGGGCTTTTTTGTCCATCTATCACGTCAGAAAGGAGCAACGGATTAGTGTGCTTTTTTATGTGGAGATAGTTGAAGGGCTGGAGAGTGACATAATATACTATTTTTGGTTTCATTCTATTCCCCCCACATAGAGCATTCAGCAATTTTCAAGGCAGAAAGTTAAAACTTGGTGTGTGGAGTATTTGTTACTAAAAAAAACACGTTCATCATTTTCTTTTGAAAATCTGCACCCAAATCCCCTAAAAGTGTCGAAAGTGCCGTACAAACGTACGAGAGTTTCGTCAGTTTTAAAGGTAAATAGCTGGTAATTGGTGCATATACAGACTCTTTGTCACAAAGAAATCATGAAATAAAATCTAATGAACTATTGAAAAAAAAAAACGTCAAAAAATAAGAAGAATTGTTTCCCGTAGAAAACGTTACTAAGTTTAAAAATATTTGTTGATAAATTTGAAAAAATAATTTTCTAGATTTCATTCATGTTTAAAGCAATGGTAATATTACGCATTGCATTATGTTAATATGTTATATTAATAAATATATCTCGATGCAAAGATAATTTTAAGAAGCATCACATGTATGATATAAGGTATCAAAATTGACAAGTAGCGTCATCAGTGTAAATTTAAAACATACAATTTACCTTATATTTAAATTATATTTATATTTAAATTTAAAACATACAATTTACCCACTGATGACGCTACTAGTCAATTTTGATACCTTATATCATACATGTGATGCTTCTTAAAATTATCTTTGCATCGAGATCGTCTATTAATTAATATAGTTTTTATGGATGGAAGTTATAAGAAAAAAAAAAGAAGATAAGATCTTCCGGTTTTTGGAATTAGGGTAGGTACTTTTAGTTTACCTACATACAGAACAGTGAAATAAACATCAAATAAGTTTCGGGTGGTGACCTAGCGCTTACCTACGAAATACCATACGCTATACCAGATCTTAGTTTAATGTAATGTTTTCAATTCTATGTATGATTTATGTAGTATGTATGTCTTGATTAATTAATATCTTTTTATTTCCATCTACTTTTTTATGAATGATATTAATTTAAAATATTTATTGTGTTCAATTTAAATTTACACAACGATCATTATTGATAGCTACAACATTGGAATTTGAAAAGCTATTATCGTGCGCATATCTGTTAGTTTATCTAATATGGTAATTTGGAAACATAAATTCTTATTTGTGTATTGTCGACGCTCGTTATGGAGTCATTACGATAACGTTCGTCAACAGGCTTCACTCTTCATTTTATCGTGGTAAAACTGACGATCGTCTCTATTCGACATTGTCGTATTTTACTGCAACTTGTGAACTTAACGTGTTGTTAAAATTGAGCAAATTTTGTTTGGTATAGGGTGCAACGCAAGAAAAAATTAGAGCATCCTCTAGCGGCGTACTTGATCAAACCGGTACAGCGAATAACTAAGTATCAGCTGCTACTGAAAGACCTTCAAGCTTGTTGTGCCGAAGGACAGGGCGAAATAAAGGTTAGTACTTCTTTTCTAAAATTTGTTATACATTCAATAGCATATACTTACCACATTGTGTCATATTTCAGCAACCTATTTACGACTTAATAATCAACAATATAAGCTTATTCATTATAGACAGATTTTTTACAAGCTGGGGCGCTGTTGATTGTATAATATCACATGATCTTCTCATATATATAATAATAATATTTTAGTTCTGCGTATTTAACTGACGGATATATTTTTCAGGTTTTTGTTATCATAAAACAGTTACATTTTGTTCTATATATAACAGTTACTGGTCATAGTAATTGTATCACACAAATTCTGGCCTATATTGACTATTCACATCCACATTCCACATTATAATATTTATAGATGTTAAAGAGTTGACACTATTATTATAGAAACACATTTTCACGTAACGTTATACACATGACAAGCATATTTACAAACATGTAAAGTTATTGCACGTTACACCGACTGTAGTCTTTTGTGATAAAGTGGTAAACACTAAACAATTTCAAAATTCTCATACATTTCTTTCTGGTTAATGAAATTGCTTTTGGAATGTACATTGAATACGTTTGCCAACAAATAGTACAATATTTTAACTTTCACACTGTTATGTGACTAGTGATGTACCGTGCCCGGGTAAAATATATATATTTATATGATCGAATTCTATTCGATCATGTAAATATATAGTGTCTATAATAATGTTGGTATTTTTTATTCGCCGTTTAAAATGCTACAATTACTAAATTTCATATAGTATTAATGGACTTTCTGATTGCTGACTTCACGGGAAATAATTAAAGAAATAAACAATTATCAAAAACAAATTTCATATATATTTGAAGACAATCGAGAATGTAGTGGAAATATTAAAAAAGATTTTTAAAAGTAATAATAAAGCATTTATTTTGTCAACACACTACACAGTATAAAACAAACAAGACAATTAACAGTTAGAACATACAAGAATTTAAAGTGTAATGGTGTGTGCTGTCAAAACTGTCAATTTTTTTTTTAATATTTTCATTGACACACGACACCGTAACAATGAATTTTAGCGAAACAGTTTAAAGATCTAAAGACGATTAGGTAATGTTTTGAAAATTCATAAATTAGTAGTCTTGGTTAACACGTTAATTGTTCAGTTATATAGAATAAAACACTTAATACTATTATTATTGTGACTTGAAAAAAAAAGTAAATTGCTTTATGGATTCTTTATTACAATTTTCATATAATATCTAGAATACAGTTCCAGAAAACACACTCGGGTTTATTTATGAGAAAATATTGTGGACTGCAAAATTACTAATACTTAGCAAAAATAACTGAGAATAAAATTCTGAGAAATATCACTTATTTGAAAGTAATTATCCTCTCGACATCGATTACTGTTTTTGCACATTAATTGCGCAGTAAGTCTTGTGACGCATTTCTTTTTATTTAATAATTTCTTTCATCATCATCATCATTCATCATCAGCCCTTTTACGTCCCCACTGCCTTCCTTATGGATGGTTTAAGGAGGATGGGCCATGACCCTCCACGCTGGCCCAATGCGGATTGGAGGGTATTAACGACCGGAAATGCAACCGGGACCAACGGCTTAACGTGCCTTCCGAAGCACGGAGTAGCTCGAGATAATAATTTTTTTGTCACCCATCCCGTGACCGACCCTTGTGAAAGTTGCTTAACGACAAAGATCGCGGGCCGCGGCGCTTATCCGCTACGCCACTGAGCTACTCTTAATAATTTCTTTAGTAAAAAGTAACAGTTTGTCTGACAATAGATCCTTTTTCCACTGCTGGAAATTTGACGTTGGGAATGGAAAATTTCCAGCAGTGACAAATTTTATGTACGTCACTACATGTAACTGCATTTGTTCACAACAACACTACATTTGTTTTATAGTGATATGTCATTTTGCTGTCTTATCGCCATTAGTGAATCTTACTCTCAGTGATTATTCTACAAGATAAGATAAATACAACAGCGTAAAAAAATATTTGACCGTATATAAAAATAGTTTTAAACGTATAATTCTATTATAAAAGACTGTCTGTGTGTGTGATAAAAAGTGAGAAAGCAGTACCAATTAACAAAAATCTGTTTAAAAAAGATCTCATGTTTCGGTGTTACATACAGGTTATATTTATTTTTTATTGCGAATTTTTATATGTAAAACGAAGAATTAGTAATGGAGTTGATAAATCTTCTGAAACTTTTGCTTGTTATACAAGTTTTATAACAAAAGTTGGTAATGTTTTTCTATGTGAGTTGGGGTGCTGTCACGTGAATGACTTCGGGCAAAGTATCATAAAACATTGCCTTGTAGAAACGTCACATGAAGAAATTGAGAAGATTTTTTTCAGTCAATTTTATTTTATAGTATAAAAATATTTTAACTGAAGTGAATAAAGAGATTTTAATCAAACATAAAACTGTTAAAACCTTTATTGAAGCACGTAACGGAATTCTTAATGTTTTTCGGATACAGATTATATGTTTATTCCATATTATTATTTTTAAATAATTTTCTATTATATTGTACATTATGGGCGTTATAATGGCGTCGACATGTTTTGATACTAACTCTGATCTCTGATCATCAATGTAATTATGTCCAGCCGACAACGCTTCTGTCTCTCTCTGTTCTTTCATCATTAGTAAACTATCAAAATCATCTTAGTGCACTACCTGTCTTTCATATTCGACTACGTACATTCGTTTGCAAATACGCATAGACATGAAGGAAAGTCTTATACTTGACCTTAGAATCACCCAACCGTAGCTAAGATGGTAGATGAGGCGGTGGCGCTCTTCTACCGAGCGATCCGATTGATACAATGTACTATGACCTATATTCATTTGTGTCTCCACTATAGATTATCATCTATTATATTTATTTATAATTAACGATGACAGATAATAAATCACCTTTTTATTGAGAACGTTCATTTTAGCCAAAAATTCCAAGAAATGTTTAAAACAGAAATGTATAATTAGTGTGACTTTTATTTGCTGTGTCGCTATACGCAGTCGACGAACACTCATTACGCCCTATCTGCAGGGCATGTTTATTTTAGTCACCAAATAACGTTCACTGAACATTGCATCTATTGGAGATTAAACAAGTAGTTCAGTTCGTAGTAATTAACAATAGATTTACTTCAATTTTTCCTCTTGAGTCATTAAATCGCTGCCTGTCTGGTGTTCGCACAACACGGAAAACGCTAATGTCGGACGGTTTGTGCAAGTGCTTTGTGAATACAAAAGACTTTATCAAATGTGTAATGGTGCTGAAATATGGTGAATTTATAAATGAAACGATGCTGAAGTATCTGAACGGACGCTGCAATCGTATAGTATCACGATTGCATGAACCACACTACAATGTATGTTATTTTTTATGTTTCCAAGAGTTTCATAATGTTCCTATATCAACCACCGTTTAGTTGTGGTGTTGGGACTATTTATGACATGATAGAAAGACCCGACCAAAGAAGATAACTTAGTGGTAACTTTTAGTACTTATCTGATATGTGTCACATGAAAAATGGGACTTTTTATTAATCAATGTTATTAGCAGGAAACGCCATGTTGATATTTTTGTTATATTATATACTTGTTCTTGGGCAGCCATTTTGTACAATCTTAAACAATCCATAATTTGTAACTAGCAATACAATTATTTTTCGATAAAAACTACCCAAGCCCGACTTCGTACAATTTTATCGTAATTGTACGAAGTCGGGCTTGGGTAGTTTTTATCGTACTACTATTTATTACTTAGTATTTACCTAGATTTGTATGATTCTTTTGATTTTATATAAATTTTCTGTTTGTTTCCTTCAGTTCATATTAATTTTGGAGTTTATTTGTTGACTTAATGTACTTTTGTTTGGCTAGTCTCTCAGTATTTTATATAACAAATATCCCACAGAAAAAATAAAGAAACGTTTGTTATTAATATTTATCATCGCCAATTTGAACGGACTTTTCGAGTCAATAATTTTATTTTACATTTTTAGTCTTACAGAGTACCAGCCCCCTAATTGTCTAATTTTAAATCTATTGCAATCGCTTTCAGTTTGAAAGGTGTTGCACAACCATTGCTTGTTTCTGAAGACAGTTGAAAAAAGAGTATTTGTATTATGCAGCAACGGTTGTGCAACACCTTTCAAACTGAAAGCGATTGCAATAGATTTAAAATTAGACAATTAGAGGGCAGATCAGTAGTAGTATTTTCAGATGATAACTCTAGAAAACCTAACTTTTGTAGCTTCATAAAATTAATGTAACAAGGCAAAAGAATATTCTGCAACATTGTTTTGTTTTCTTTATTGAATTACATGCATTATCTATAAAATTATATCAACATATTCCAAATATTACAATATTTTCGCAATGCCACTCCTCGTCTTCATAGCGACTGATATATTTGTAAGTTATCTTTGTAAAGTAGGAGAATAATTATGAGATAAATTATGAGATGGTGTATGTTATAAGTAACTTGTTTGTACTCTGAGGCATATCATTGATTATAGATTACAGGTTTTTGATATAGACGTCTTTTAATGTTAATTTATTTATTTAGGACGGCTTGGAGGTTATGCTGTCAGTGCCAAAAAAGGCAAATGACGCGATGCACCTCTCGTTGTTAGAGGGGTGCGATGTGCCCGCGGACAGCCTTGGGGAAGTGGTGCTGCAGGATTCATTCCACGTGTGGGATCTGAGGCAAATCATCAAGAAAGGCCGCGAGCGACGCGTCTTCCTCTTCGACCTGCACTTGCTTCTCGCTAAGGAGGTTAAAGACTCACATGGGAAAGCGAAGTATATCTACAAAACTAAGTTTATGGTTAGTGTACTTTTTCTTTTAGCACAAATTAATTTTTATCAGTGACAGACAATATGCTACTCACAAGATTTTTATAGCGCTCATATATGTTCTAAAATTGAAACTAATGTAATTCGAATGAACAATAATAAAATATTCTATACTCATGATTTCAAGTCCAATAAAACGAAGGCTCTCGCATGGGAGCAACAAGGAAGTATCCATGCCAACCTATAATGCCAATATAAATAATAATAATAATGAAGAATCAAATTAGTAGTTAATGAAAATAGACTTCGAAACTTGATTATTGATGTTTTGAAATTTGTTATATATTAATTTTAAACGTCTATTGATTCACCTGACGCTACATATATGCGTCTGGCGAAGTCATGTTTTAAATTAACCCTGATGTTCATAAAGTCTCTGACGTTTATTTTGTTTCGCAGACGTCAGAACTGGGAGTGACGGAACACATTGAAGGCGATGAGTGCAAGTTCTCGGTATGGACAGGCCGAGAGCCGATGGCGAGCGACTGTCGGATAGTTTTGAAAGCACCCTCGCTAGAAGTAAAACAGACCTGGGTTCGTCGTCTCAGGGAAGTCATTCAGGTGATTGTTACTACTGTACATATTATTTATTTATCTTGATCACGAGTGACGTATACGTTATTATATAAAGTTGTCACAGTTTTCCGACCATCAACATTATAGGAAAAAATTAGCTCGAAGGCATCATATAGATGTTAATATAGTACTACTACGTTTGTAATAAGTGAATACATTTTTTCGATATAAATCCCTGATTATTTCGGACTATTTCAAATGCTTTTGTTTTGTATCAAGTATATGTAATAACTGAAAATTGAATTTTATTACGACATATATAGATGACAATTCTTTTGTTTCACTCTTTAAACTTAATATTTACTTGTTTTTTTTTTAACGTTATTCCCTACAACTTAAATTTGATAAAGGAAACACTCAGTTTAATCTGGTATATCCATTATATTCACTACTGTAAGTGCAGTTTGACGGGATTAAAGCTAAATATGATGTTTGTGCAACAGAATTGCTATCATCCTATAACACAAAGTGTTCGTATTTTAGTTTAATGGAATCGATTAACTTGTTTGTATTTCGTTAGGAAACTTACTTCAGCGGGGCGCTTCAACAACCGCCGCGTAGTCCTGCACGTGTGCGACCGACGAGCTCCCAGCGTTCGAGCAGGTAAACATGGCCGATAACTTTTAAAGGAAACTTTGATGATTATTCAGTAAATATATTTTGATTTATTTATATGGACATTTGATCTACGAAACTCACAATTCTTATTTTAAAACCATTTATTCTTTTGATTTTATTTATTTTATTCTATTTACTTTATTGGTTTAAATATAGTTTTTTTTTATAGAAGGTAAAGTTTTTCTTAAATTAAAGGTTTAATCGCAATGTTAGCGAGGTCCGCTGGTGTGATTTTGTCTGTCATTAAATAAATTTTCAATTGTAATTAAGAAATAAATGTAATAATACAGTAATTATTGTTAAAACGAAAACTGGGGTCTTACACTTAGAGAGACTTAAAATTGCTTTTGTAATTTAAATAAACGTGTAAAAATTGTTTAAATCATATAATTTCGAGTTTCATTCAAATAATAAATAATTAGGAATAAAATTCTTTGACACAAAAAGAATATGAAAAATATAATAAAAAAAAACTTGAACTTGATATAGACTAATACTGTTATTCTTAAATAAATATATTTTTAAATGAAACCGCTTTAGAAATTAGTACTTCGCAATTAAATAAGTAATTATGTTCTTGCCTAAACAGAAAGGTAGTGCGTAGATAGAAAAAAACATTAAAAACATTTTCTTTCTTTCTGTATTTCTTTTTTTTTCTGGATAGAACTTCTCTCTTTGGAGTGCTTATAGTAACGTAATAGCATAGACTTTATTAATACTTTAATGCATTTTTTCTATAGTTAATAAATATTACAGGGATCTGGACGACACTGTGCTAGACGAGACCACAGAGAACTTGGATCGTAATTCACTCGCATCCTTTGGTAGCGGCAATACTACCGATTCAGACAAGGTAAGTCAATTTTAAGTTTGCCCTTCTTCTTAAAGTGCCTCTCCAACTAGTAAAGGTTGGCCATCAACTTTTTACAACCGTCCCTAGTCTCGGTGAGTTGGAACAGCTCGGTTAGGTATTCCCGTCCATTCTGATATTTCGGAGCCATGATTTCTTCCTCTTTCCAATGCTTCTCTTCCCGAGAATTTTGCACATCGCTATAAGTTGCAGAAATTCGTATCTCCGATTGCGAAGAACATGACCCACATAGGAGATTTTTCGGCGTTTAATTGTGTTCTTTTTAGGTTAACACGTTTTAAAATTTCCACATTGGTCACCCCTTGAGACGAGGCTATGGATAGCATACGTCTATAAGTCCTCATTTCGAATGGTTCTATGCGCTTTTTAAGATCTTTAACACTCCAAGCCTCACAACCATAAAGCACATTAGGACAGGTGTAACAATTGAGATATCGATCGCATGTATATCCAGTGATCTGTTGCTATTTCATTATTTCTGAGCTAATTAGATGTTTAAGTCTTGATCTATCTTACCATTCCGTTGCATACATAAAACTAAGTAATAATGTAATAAATAGACTGGTAAAAGCTCATCCAGTGAGACTGCAATTAGAATATCTAATAGTTGTGGAGTATTACATATATAGATCCATTTTTGAAGTGCCCATCGTGCAAACCACTGTTGTTCTCCCCATGTTGCGATGTGATCAATTGTTTTTGTAAACAAACCGATTGACTTCAGTTCTATCTGACTGCATAATGACATATCAAGGGAGCTAGCTACTCTTTTGCCTTGTTTCACCTGTTTAATGTGCTCGAATATATAACAATCTTCTTCTTTTACTTCTGGAACTTCTTTTACATTTTGCTAACTAATGACAGTTGATATAAGAATTCTGACGATTCTGCTCATGTTCATGTTTGCGATAGTTCATATGCGTTTAAATTGGCTTTATTTAGTAGATTAATTTTAGTTCCCTTCTGATTAATCTACTTTAAAAATCTTTATTTTGTTTCAATTAAAATTTACTGACTGTATATTGTATACTATATGTAAATTGTGCATTTTTAGGTATTTTTTATCTTATAAAGTCATTTACCATAATTGATGAGGGCACTCATTTTTAGTTTTATAGGTATTCAATAATTACTCTCCATTAATTGATTGGTCACTAGATCAGCAGGTCATTTTTAGAAGATGAAAAGTGACATTAAAATATTTTTATTGACCAAATATTTTTTTTTATCTGTTCTGTTTATTGTAACAGTTAACAGAATCGTAGAAATGCATGAAGAACATCAATACAGTCTTGCATTAATTAGCGTTGCAAACTATAATAATATCATTTATCATATAACACAGTTAGTAATAATTTGTTCATCCTTCGGTTCTCGACCAAAAATCCAGTACTTTTTCAAAAATCTGATATTTATCGTTATCCTTTAAACAAAAACAAAAAATTACATATAAAAAATTAATTATTAGTGATATACTCTCGTATGAATTAATTTGACATCTCTTGTGTCACCCTTGAACGAAAATAAGATAATTTTGAATAGTTCTTATAATATTGTAAAAATTATATCATAAAGATTATTTGTGCATCAGATCAGAAGCAATATCAGCTGTTCTGCCTCCTTTGCATCATATATTATAGGAAAACGCTTTTCTTTGGAAAGCCAAATAGACAAAATTTCGTTTTCGGCGAAATAGAATAGGCCTTCAATTGTCATGTTAATTCGTACGAGTAGTATATACAGTGTTTGCACCGTAGTCGTTATTTTGTTCCCTTTGTGGTTGCTTTAACGGTAACATTCCGCATAGTCATCAAAAAATGCCTTTAATTCAGCAGATTGTTTTTTGCCTTCCTTTCTATTTGTATATCCAATAGAACGGCGCTTTTGGTCCAATTGGTCCAATTAATTAGTGAACGGAGGATGACCTCTCGTAACGTCTCCCAGTTTTTATTTCTAGCAAAGAATATAGATTATATGATTTATACAGATACAGTGGTTGTGAACTTTGCTCAAAAACAGCATCTACGGTTAATATAAGTGTAATTAGTTGTATGAATAAAGTTTATATGTTTATAGGAAAATTAATTTTGAAGCATGTTACTGGGTTAATGTTAATCCGAAGCAGTTGAACTAATACAGCGTCCATCTAGATACCTGTATCTGTTATTTGTAGCGATATATACCATGTCCATTAATTTTGATTCCATCGCCACCACACCGTGAATACATCCACCCTAACCATTTCGATTCGGCAGTATATATACATGTCTGTAAAATCGCTCAACCAACGTTCAAAGTGACCGCATTTATTCTGATTCTGAATATGTTTAAAATTGCATGCATAAAAGTTAAACAGTTTGGATAAATTAACGCGGATGTCTCACATTAGCGGCTGCAAAATTATTTTAAAAACGTTGACTTTGTAATTTTTTTCAAAATAATAGCTTCATGCGTATATATAAATGTATTTGTAAAGAATCATCATTTTGACAATAATCTCGTCAATTATCAGGTATATTCAGATAAGCAGTAATAGTCGATATAAATAAAATATATTTAATCACGTATATCCATATACCTGTAGCCGCCATCGAGAATCACTTCATACGATTAATTCAGTTCTGTGCATCAGTAATCTCCTCTAGCTGTGAGTCCCTAGTCAGAGTGCTGCCGTTAGAACATATTTCGCTTCGATTAACAATACAACTCGATAACGCATCCCCTACTAAAACAATACCCAAATACGGCACCAAACCATAGACCATACACTGCGACAACCGAGGAACATAATACCACAAAGTATATTCTGAAAACTGAGCTCTGGAACTGGATAATGGGTAAGTATGGAGTAGCATTGTCAATTTTATTTTTCTTAATAAAATATATAAATTCATATACGTCGATAATAATGAATGGAGTCAGCAATTATAAAATACTAGCTTTCCGCCAGCGGCTTCGCTCGCGTGATCTAGGTTTAAATCCAGAAATTAGAAAAATCCATATACAATTTAATCCCCTAATCTACCCTCTTTGAGGTTGAATTTCCGTAAATCCCGTTTTAGTGAGCACCTACGTCCTAAAAAGAATCCGCATGCAAAATTTGTAACTGCTAGCACTTATAGTTTCTGAGATTTCGTGAGTGAGTGAGTGAATGACCTTTCGCTTTTATATATAGATTAATTTATTGTTTGTCTATTTGCCTTTGACTACCATTAACTAACCAGTTAAAAATTTGGGAGTCTTTTCTAAGAAGAATTGGCGAAACAAACTCCTGTAATTTTAATGGTTACAGAAAGATACAAATGCTTTATGTTCATGCACGCGGCTTTGTAATCGAGAACTAGAAGTACTACACCAAGATGGTTTTCAATTATTGTTCAAATTTTTCGGAAAAAAAATTGTAATAGTACACTACTGTCTTAGAACATCGAATATTTGGCTTCTATTTTTTATTTTATGACTGCGATGTTTCTTGGCCTGGGTACAAAACAAAATTCGTTTATTTTGTTGAAAATACTTTGATTAATAATTGCAAACGTTGTAAAATCACATTAACAACCCGTAGATATGATATTCCAACAGATACATTCTTATTCCGTTAGTTATTTTTGCAGTTTTAATACGCACTGTGTCATAGTAATATATCCCAACGTTAGCGCCGTCGCAAACAAACTAAATCATAATAAGACCGCACTTTGAAGTGAGGCGTTATGTCTTCGGCCATCTTTGAAACTCTGACCGGACATCTAGTTATATTGTTGATCGAAGGTATTTTGTTATTACAGCTATCGCCTGTTATACGTATATGTATGTGGTGGTAATATCATAAATCTATGGATATACTTTTTGATGGTCGAGAGTAATTTGAGAATTAATAATAAAACTAATTAAGTTGTCATTCTTACGTTTGTTCTGTTTTTCCTTCCTTTGGTTAAAATGAATGTTATTAAAATGTATATGTATGCACTGATAACTGATCGATCATAAATGTCAGTTAGTATTTCTTTCTATATCTGTTGACCCCGATTAAAGAAAATATTATAAATATATTTACATGTTCCATTTTACAGTTTTGAGTGATTTTTTATTCAACATCATGACTGGGCAACAAAATGTGTCCAGCAATAAACTTCCTATAATAAATGACAGAGTTACATTTCGGTTAACAAAAATGTTACAGTTCCATGAATGGAGAGCAGCCTTCTAGTTTTTTAGTAGAAAAACCTTAAAGCGATTGATAGAATATATATACAATCTAGTTCTAATAGTTTCAAAATAAAGAGGTTTATTAGTCTTTCTAAAATTTGAGAAAGGTTGGATCGATTTGATAAAATTTGATTCTAAGAAAGATAAAAGATCACATACGAAAAAAATATGTAAAAAAATCGTGTGAAAGTGTAATTTTTTCCTAGATTTCTTAGTTCTTAGCGTTCAAGAATTATTTTTATTTATTCTGTGGCGGTATGATGGTCATCGGGTCAGCTTGTAATAGATAAATGATATTGCAATAATAATAAAAAAAACTACAATGGATATTTGCAGCTTTCATTTCTATTTAGTACCGTTTAAGAATATTTGTCGGACCCGGTTGCAATTTCAATTATTATATACGGTTTAGCGTTTATTTGTCCAACACCACACACAAATTAAAACCTATTCCAAATTTGGGAGGCCTGTTGAATAGTAACTGAAGCTTTTAACATTTCTAATTAAACCAATCCCTTGTCATGGCTCCTCCATACCCGTATAGTAATTAATGTTCGACTGTACCATCATATTCGAAATCAATTTATAATTATAATAACAATTAATCTGAGCTTGATCATGATCTGAATATTACTATCCGAAAGGTCTTTATACAGCGTTATCGTTTGTGACCGCAGGAATTGACGTTGCATTATACCACCGATAATGTGCAGTATTACACACTATAAAAGCAATTACTACGAAAGTAACATTGTCCTCGATTGGATTTTGTATATTATTATTAATTAGCATGTATTTTAATATAATGCATTTTTCTAATATTGCAGTTATCATCAAGTCATTCAGCAAAAAATATGCGCGCTAATTTAGTTTAGATGACAATACATGGTTATAGTTAGCCACATAATTTTGTTCAATATGTAGAACAAAATCGCGGAATGTTCAATATATAGTTACTTCTTTGCTCACGAACATGATATGGGTACCAAAGGAACAGTTAGCTTGCTAAGAAAAATATAAAAATAATTAAATGGATTAATTCGAAATCTAATATGGTGGGCAAGTTATTTTTAGCACTTTCATAATATGGGTGCTCATAAAACGAAACATGTAAACTTTTAATTGTAACAAATTCCATACACCTCGTTTACTCCGCTATGTAATGTTTTCAAAAACGTTACATAGGTTTTGATATTGCTATTGATTAAACCGTACATTTATTTCCGAACTTAGCCGGAAGTGTTCTAACGAGCCCTTCTCTCAATCTTGTACATTCGACACCTTCAATTTTATGATACAGTTTTTTCTGTTTCTAATAATCTACTATTATTAGTTTTATAATTTAATATAAAACAACATTATTCTATAAAACCATATTTAAACAAATTTTCACAGAACATGAAAAATGAAGAAGTAAATTCATTAAATATATCACCCAACTTATTATATTAAAACTATATATACCTAGATAACATAGAACATTAACAATGAATACAATCGACTTCGAAAAAGTAGATGATTAAAGCCGAATGCCACGGTGGAATTCAATAATCCTTAATTTGAGTGTTATTATTAATTATGATCTAGGCCTATGCTACAATATACTTGGGTTAACAAGTGAATGCTAAAGCGAGACAGTTATCGATATGCTGTTATATGTAATTTTTTACTTTACAGATTTTGCAAACAATATAGTATATTGTTCAAGTTCATTGTTTTGGAAATCAGAGACATAACATCTAATATACCTATATACATATGTGTGTGTTACCATTGGCTTCGGGAGTTAATCACGATGTTCAAAAGAAAATGTATCGTTACATCCATGGGAATAAGGTGTTTTGTGACAGTGAAAAGTAGCTTGTGTCACTGTAGTCTTCGCGACTATATTCACACAGAAACAATCATGCTATAACGACGATGCTTGCAGAATAAGAGATACACTTGCATCGCAAAAGTGAATCCTCTTCAAATTAATCAAACACTAAAAAAAAAATACAGATAAGATATAAATTAGAGGTAGCTTGTTTACTTGAAAGGAGGGTTACCATTAACAAGCGACACCCTTGTATCACTCACCTGAATTTCGATTATTGTGCGCTCGTTTCACGAGGAAACGTGAGAGTGCCGAATAAGTTCGGGTTATAATTATGACTGAATTACGAAATGAAAGAACAAGTGTCGTGTGATCTATTTATAAAAACGTTTTATTTTTTCTATTAAACAGATAATTTCGCATTTCTAATATTAATATTTATTTGATATTTTAATTATTTTAAAGAATTCACCTTTGATTTCGTCGGAAATAAATATCTTACTAATTATTGTTTTAAACTTTGTATTTATTGATTGTATCTTAAACATTATATGGTAGTATACGACTGTCAGCCACTTGCAGACACGTCCATTAAAATATTCATTGGTTTAAAGAGACATTAGCCATACAATTTTGACATTTATTAGAGCTTAAAGGCGTCATTAAACCTTAATGGACGTTTGTGCAACTGACCGTGTATCTATTTATTGTAAACTGGTGGTATTGTTTGTCTTAATGTAAGAAGCGAAGACCAAAAGTATTGCGATTATAGATGAAATTCTATACGTTACGTTTAAAAGCAGAATTTGTTTCGGCAGCTATCACAATATTATAAACTGCTAATGATTTTCCTCCATCGAAACTATTTTATTATAAAAGACTGCAAACAGTCGTTTTTCAGCTTCCAGTAGTCACAAGTTCTCCAACGAAATAAATATTTCCTTATTTCATACACTTGAAAAAGCTTTTGCACTTGACTCATTTTAATATCCAATACAGTAGGTATTTGTTACAATGGTTTGATCAATCAATTCAATGAAGTATGCTATTAATATTAGTTTGTGCGTTGTTGCTGGTTGGCTTTCAATTTCATCGTCATGGCGAAGATTAGGTCCATGTCTAACTACGATTAACCACACCATGTACAAACAGCAACACGCCAGGTTACAGTATTTCATTCAATTGACGTCTCTAAGTTTCAAATTTAATACATTTCATTGTAATAAAATATTTTATGGAATTTAATACAATTATATATAGATACATACAAAGTAACGATTTGTCTGTTAGTCATTTTGTAGATTTCATACTATTGCCTCATTATTCTGTTAACATTTACATACATTAACTCCCGCTTTCGTCCTTCGTTTACAAAGCTCAACGTGTCAAACAAAAGTCCCCACAGAGATAGGTAGCCTGAGGGGTTGGTAACAATTGCTTCATTCGAGATATCCGCATTATAAAAGTTGTAAAGCTCAATGAAATAAAGTTGTGTTGTCTAATTGCTCTCTCTCCAGTATCCTAATAATTTTATCAAATTGTGCTATTATTTTAATAAAAAATACTTTATTATAAAAAAAGCCCAATAAGGTAAAATCTAAATTTAGCTGAGCAGCAAAAACGTCAAGGCATTACTGGGTGTTGTAAAGTGCGGTTAAATTCAGTCTCGTCACGAACGGATTAGGAGAGTCCTTTGCGTGGCGCTGCGGCGGGACCCTTAGTGAAATAAATTCGGGAAGTGTAGCTCGATACGGAGGCTGCGTAGTGAACGAGTGTGCAAGAGCGAGCGACAGCGACGAAGGCCGAGGCGCGCGGCGGCAGTGGCGAGAGCGCCGCGCGTCTCGTCGGACGGTGGCGGCGCCGCGACCGCACCTCGCGCCCGCGGGCACGTGCCGGCGCGATGGGCACGACCCCGCCGCCCGCGGGCACTAAACAACACAAGAGCAGGCGAAAGATATCATTGCCATGGTTCCGACAGAGCTCGATCAGTGCACCGCATGCGGCTCTATCGCGTCAGCATACCATCGACACGCCAGGCTCATTCCACGCACGACTGCTAAAGACCAACCGCCAACGTCAGGTGAATGCGCCTGCACTGATGCGCTCGACAATCGTCTACCGCGACAACTCGTTCGCGCCTGTGCCCAGTCGTCTCGCGTCAGCTGCAACTCATTCTGCAAGTCGTACTGCAGACACATTCACGCTTGCATCCCATTCATGTGCACCTCTTTAGTATCATCAACGTTTCTCGACCTAGGTCATGGTGTTTTTTCATTGTCAAAATTCCTCCCTTGAATCGTTCTAATATTGTGAAAATATATATTTTTTTACATTTGAAAAAGAAGTTTAAACGCATTCGTTCACCAATTTTACCCTCACCTTCCTATATGTGTGCATGTGGATGGTTGTAACATTGTGAACATCGATATGGATAAAATTATCATTATTATGCACTCAGAACAACCGACGAATTTATATACTAGAAAACGAAAAAAATATATTACTCACGATATTTTAACTACTCATGTTCATTTTTATTAAAAAAAAATAAAATATTATATACGAACAATTGTGTCGTTATTCAATCACCGACTTTCCGCTACCACGAACACCTAATACTTTTATAATAACTGACCCGTATAATAATTATATTATATTATTTTATTTGAAAACTATATTTTCAGAAACCAAATTTATTTTATTTTCACAATTGACACAATTATTCGTATTTTTCTTTACCTCTTTTCTTCATCGCTAAAATGTTGGACGCTACCTTTTATTAATTGATGCTGGTTTTTTTTTTATCAAAATCATCTACTATTCAATAGCTATTAGATTTTTTCTTCAGTTAAAATATAAAAGAAACTCTATTTATTAGTGAACACATTTTGCTGTTGAATGAACTAAAATTGGTTATTCCTTCGTTAAAAACACTTACCTAAAGACTTTATGGAATTAATAAAGGCCGAATACAATGCAACAAATGAAATCATTATCAATTCATTTTTATGTTATGTAAAATGAAACAGTATTCTGATATAAATCAAAGCGCACATAGATGATTTCATTGAGGTATATAAGAATCTCGTGTCTCAGCCAAGGAATTTACAAAAGGCCGAATACAAAGCAATTAATGGAATAAAGAGCATTTCATTTTCATTTCATGTAAAAATAAAACAGGATAATGTTATAAATGAAAACGTACATTAACTGTTTCATTGAGGTATTTAAGAATCACGTGTATCAGCCAAGTTCAAGGAAAAAAGAACTGGCGAGACAACAAAAAATAAAACAAATTGAAATGAGAGCCAAAGCATCGTTGCCGATTTCATGGTTAAGGAATTAAGATCCACATGGGTGCCAAGTTCTGTGAAGATAATCTTAAAATCAAGTTCAAGGTTTAATTTAGCTAGATTTTACCAACAAATAAAATTTAATAAAAGTAATATGACTAGTGAATCAACCGAACAGTATATTACGGTACAAATAGGAAGTTTACTAACATGCGCACGATTTAACGAAGATAAGTAGACATATTATATAATACAATATATAGTACGTGAAAGTCAAATCAGGGACACATATTCTTAATATTGAACTTGGCTCTCTTATTCATTTATGTTGAAATGAAGTCATAGTAAGACACCATTCCATTCAGACGGCCAGCGATGTATTTTTAAAACTATAGAAGTTTTACTGCCACATGTGCGCAAAGTACACGCAGACGTGGAATTCATTGGATCACACTATGCTTGTAAAATTCAAGGATTGCATTGTGACAATGAATCAAGACGAGAAAGAATAGTGTCAATTGATACCGAACCACATGTTTTTTCTAGAATTATGTAAACTTGTAAATAAACATTTTGAATGTGGATTAATGGGCCGTGCAATTTCTTTTTTATTTATTATAACTGACTCTGAACGAATAAAAATAGATTCGTATGAAAATTGTGGATTTCGTATAGACTGACATTGTTTGCACGAGTTACTTATTTTACTCAATCTTGTCAGTAAACAGTAATACAGTAATCTGTCGATAATATGATTGAGTGCTTTTATCGTAATAAATGCGTCATATCCAGATTGAACACACGAAGCAGGTCATGTTATGTAGACTAAATTAGTAAATATTTTATATAGGGATAGGAGATAATAGAATAGAAATGTTTTTTTTGATAGTAAAAGAGTCTCGCGCATCAGAAAATCTTCTCAGCATTGTTAGTACGAGATACTTTTGGAGATGCACGAGAACACTATTCGTTTTTTTAATTGGATGATAGAATATTAGAAAATCTTTCCAGAATAATATAAATGAAATGTCACTGCAATAATTGAAGATGTACGCCTCAACGCGCTTACTAATTGGTCTTTCATTTCGCCCACTCCAGGTTCGCCTGTCACTGAGATATTAGCACAGTAAATTGATAAAACTATAAATCGACAACGTTTAGGTCTTCTTTTTTATACTAGCTTAATACTAACTAAGAAAATTCTTTAAGTCTCCTTTAAATCAATTGATTTATTTAATTTTTCCTTAATGACCCACCTGGAAAAGTTAAGAAAAGAAAAATGCAACGCAAGCCGCGAAAGAAATTTGTGACGTTTATTGACCTAGTGCAGTATCTGTGAGAGAAGCACAAATTTGGTTTTGATGTTGTTTTCAGTCCCGAATTTTTGATGTCAAAGACGTCTCTCCGGCCGCCCGGATAACGCAGATACCATTTTTGAAAAAGTGGAGCAAGATCGGTATGTCAGTAGTTAGGACGTAGTTAAAGAACTGGAGATTGACCACAAACCAGAATTGGCACATTTGAAAAAATCTGGGAACACAAAAAATTAAATGGATATTCGGGTACCTCACGAACTCACTGAAAGAAACCTAATGAACCGTGTACTCATTTGTGATTCTTTATTACGGCGTAATGAAAACGAACCATTTTTGAAAAAGCTGATAACTGGTGATGAAAAGTAGATTACGTACGACAAGAACGTGCGAAAAGGGGGCCGTCCATTAATCACGTGATATTTTTTAACCCTCTCCCCCCCTCGGTGACACATGGTGAGGTTTAAGACTAACCCTCCCCCCCACCTAATCACGTGTATTTTTTAGTACCTACAAAAAATCTTAATTTTTGACGCCGCTGTTTAGTAATCTCGCCTTCGAGGAAGAAAATACACGTGATATATTGCTACACCCCTTCCCCTTTGTGATATTTGGTGATTTTTGACGATCCCCTCCCTCCTTTCGAGCCTTACGTGATTAATGGACGGCCCCAAGGTCGTGGTCAAACGTCGGTCAGGCTTCATAGACTGGGGCGTAACCCAGGTTAATTCGCAACTAGGTGATGCTGTGTGTGTATGGTGGGATTGGAAGGGCATTATTAATCATGAGCCGCCAGGCAGGACCATCGATTCTGAACTCTACTGTGATTAAGATTAAAGTAAAAAATGACCAGAATTAATCAAAAGAAGGGGTGTGGTTTTTCATTATGATAACGCTAAACCTCACAATCATTTACCACTCAGAAAAAATTAAGAGTTTGGCTGGGAGGTGTTATTAGTGCATCCGCCGTATAGTCCTGACCTTGCACCTTCAGATTTTCACCCGTTTCGTTCTCTTTAGAATTCTTTAAGCTAACATCACGCGAGGACTGCCAAAACCACTTGTCACAGTTTTTTTGCTCAAAAGCCCCAAAATTTCTATAGCAATATTTTAAACGCAATCAGGTGTATTACATGTCGTTTCTGAAGAGGTGAGTTACCTCTTAATATTGCATTTTCATTATATAAATTTTACCAATAGTATCTATTCAGTAACCACTGATTCTGACAAAACATACCTATCATTTTGGAAATATGTTTCCTAAATATTATTATTTTCCTATTCGTAAGAATAAGAGTGCAGAATTACCTACGTTTAAGTACTCGAGTTGCATATTGTGTTGCCGAGTAAATACAATGGAAAACAACTTGTATTATTATAAATACTGCTAATAAATAATAGTAGACAAGGATGTGATAATGATTGTAAAAAGTGATGTGGAAGATCTTTGACACGAATATAAATAAGTTAACGCTCATCGCAGCGTTCATCGTATCAAAATATGACTGATTTTACCAGGACTACATATGAAACGATATTTAAATCGTCCACGAAGTGATGGTGCTATGACTCATCACTATTACACTGTCAATGAAAGCACAAGTCATTGTCTACGCTCAACAATTAACGAAAACTAACAACGAACGTTAATTTACTCCAATGGTATACTCTATATTCTAATGTATTACAGGAAAGCGTTGTCGTTAAGGTTCAAATTACAATAAAAAACAAATAAGGGCGAATTGGAATACATATTTTTACTAATAATACATAAATATTAAAAGTAATAAACTTTTCTTATTCTTATTTTTTATGTATTTTTTAACTTAGTGTTCTAATTAACCTCAACATTCTTCGGATGTTTTTACTATAAATTACACGTTTCGTACAATAAGTTTTGGTAAGCATTAAATAGTGATGCAGACAGACAGAAAAAAAAAAGAAATTATTTTTAGTTCGTCAGTCAGACAATAGAAAAATACGTATATATAGATACGTATACGTAGTTTTGTAGGAAATGTACAAAAACGTGACGTCGTATGACATTTTAACTCAATATATTATCGTAATTTAACGAAAAAAAATAACATTTAATATAATTATATCAACAATTTACCAGAAGAACATACAAAAAATTTTTGACATCATGCTTATTCAATCAATTTTCACTATACGTTCAATACATTTGATTAAATCTGGTTTCATATCAAATAATACAGAATTGAACGATGAGTGCATTTTGATCAAATTGGATGACAACAATTTTATTTATATATAGGACTGTTTTGGAAATTTTAAAAATTTTAAATATATCTTTAGTTCTGATGACAAATAAATTATATATAATCGGTATTATTATTAATACAAAATGGCCGCCGTTACAAAATTGTGGCGTACATATTTATGAACAACCAACCTAACATGTGTATCTATTGATAGGGATTAACTTGTAGAATATAAATAAATACCAAACC